TGTATAACTTGCTAACAAAAGCGAATAAGGAAGTGTGAAATGATGAATGATGGTGAAATGAAAAAAAAAATCTCGCATACGAAGGTAAAATCAAAAAATTTTGTAGAATTTAAAAACACCATTTGGTAGTTAGGAATGTTTATTCAAAATTTTGTTCAAATCTGTTTGGTAGTTTGGAAGAAATTCTTTGATCACTGCGAATTTCGGCTTGTATCGTTAAGTTCTGAAGAATACATGTTCCAAATTTTATTGAGCTGCGCTCATTAGTTTGGGAGATATTACTTGATAATTGAATTAGGAGATTGGTCATGAAACCGGCCTCGAGTCTGGGCCGTAAATTTGCCTGAGACGTGCTAGGTTTCTAGTACTGAAACAGTTACAACAGCTGAAAAACATATTGGTTCACTAAAAGGGGTTTTATTTGTGAAATTCACATATGTGTTTAACCTTTATCTTCTAAAATTGCAGCGTACTAAATTTTATAGAAAGAGGCGCATGATTTTATTTGTGTATGTGGGGGGTGCTAGAAATTCACTAGGGAGCCAAAGGCGACGCCGGCCTGAAAAAGTTTGGGAAACCACTGATCTAAAGTAAAACCAATGTTCTTTACTATGTGTTTTAATCTTTAATCTACCCTAAAAATTTTCAAATGGCAATACTGACATTTGTGTTCACTTAACTCGCTTAAGTGGCAACTGAATATTGAACTGAACTTAAACGCTTAAGTGGCAACTGAACTGACTCGCTTAAGTGGCAACACTTGATAATGCAGGCTGACCGCTCTGACGTGACTGCAGTATGCAACCTTCAAGTAAACCATTTTGGGTTGACATGTTGTTATTGTGTTCTGCAGGATATTTTGGCAAGAGTGTTGAAGTAATGCGGATTGCGCCATTATTGCGGAAGTTGAAAATTTTATGAAACGACTTGTTTGTAAAGTGCAAACAGCAATTTTTTTATCAGACAAAAATACATGACATTGGAGCCAGGAGATTTCATACCTACTGAAATTACCATCAAACGGAGGTAATAAGGGACAGGCAGGGTAAATTGGGACAGTCGTCCCACATTTTGTAGAAATTTTGTAGCAGCTAAACTAATCAAAATATTGTAAAACTAAGTCTGTATTTCTGTCTAGTTATAAATAAAGATTGCTTCTTTTTTCAGTAATTTTTGGATTGTTGAGTTAGAGCTTGTAACTTATTTTTCATGCTTTTCAAATTGTGCATGAGAAATGAATTTATATACATAAATTGGGGTGACTTGGACCATTTTTAGCAACTACATTTTTGTGATGCATATAGTCACATAGTAAATATACAAAATTGAACTGTTCCATCATAAACGTGAGTGCAAGCCTCAAATATTGCAGTGTCGCCTGACACCCGTTGCTACTTGTGCAATGCCTGGTCTGGGCGTCAGGCTGTGTGGTTGCTTCAGAAACCATTGATATCTTATCTGAGATAATGTATAGACTTTTTCAGGTGTCAAAAGTTGAACTTAAACATATCTTTTATAGGTGATTTCCAAAAGATGCATGCAAAAATGTGTTGCGTTTCCTAAATTTCTCTACCAAAATGAGTCAAGGTTTTCAGAAACATCTGAAATTGAATGCAGCTTGCAGGTATGATCATTTCTGTCTCATTAACAGGTGGCTTCTGTCATGATTTTCCAGTTTGGATCTCTCAAGAGTCCAGACCAGACTTGCTGATAAACCTGTCAATGCCATCTGACTCCAGGGTGCAGAAAGTGGGTGAATATTGGAAGATCTTTGGCAATGCATGAGCAGCAAAATTTATGCCTTCAAAAGATCTTGCCGACACATTTGGATTGAAACTATTACATTTTAGATATATGTCAGTCTTGGCAACGGGCAACACTAACTGCAGAACAGGAGGTGCACCAGTGGCTGCACTTTTTACAAATTTCCAATTTTTGGTTGGTCATATGAGACTGCAAAGCACAATCCACAATTTGGTAATTTCTGATCCGAATAAAATTGCAATTATCTACTGCAATGCTTGTTGTGTCAGAGATGCACTCAATAAAGTTGGTTGTATAAGAATTTAAACAAAAAAAAATGTTTGCAACGCTTCTTAAGGGGCCAGAAAGACCACTGGCCACTCTCCATGCCCATTGGTCTCCTTGCAATTTACAACTCACACGTTTTATTTTACCATTGTCATCTCCACACATGTATACCATTCCACACTCATGGTGTGGTGCGACTCTTACATCAAGAGTGTGCAACTTTTACATTGTTATTGTCATATCATCCCCTGGTTGTATTAAAATTCTTATAGGCTGGCCTCTGACTATAGAGATGTGCGCGAGATGAAAGCAATCATATAATGAATTCCCTTCCTCATATCTTCTTTTCTATTGCAACCAAAATAATTTGATAAAAAATAAAGAACATTTTCATTTACTGCATTCTATTATCAACTCCAATCAATTGTCTTTATAAAAATCAGAGTCATAAATTTCTTACCGCAAAATAGATATGCGACTAGGCACTTATATTTCATGTAACTATCCTACTGGAAAGTGTATCTACTATGAATTTATCATTAATATTGGCACTTATCTATTCTGTAATCATTAGAGTTTTACGACTCTGAATATTATAAAGAATGGATTGGAGTTGATAATCAAATTTGCCACTTTAGCAACTTCCATTGACCACTTAGTGCTGGTGTAAATCCAGAAAATTAAAATATTATTGCATTATTTTAACTGCAATACATAAGCAAATAAGAAAAGAGAGAACTGATTATGCAATTGCTTTTATCTTGCACTCATCTCTATAGTCAGAGGCTTGCCTAAGAATTTTAAGGTTTCTGGTACGTTGGATGGATTGGGATGCAGCAAAGCTTGTCCGAAAATCAGTCGCAATGAGTGTAAGTGTTGCAGTGTATGGAGAGTATGGGACATACTATTAAAGTTGTTAGCAGTATTTCTCTATTAAAATTTACCCAGCAATGCATATTGAATATGGCTGGCAACATTTTGGGCTTAAAATTCCTATCTTGACAACGCTGCTTGCAAACTCTTCACCCTGGCCACCTGTAACCTGCAAGGCTGTAACCTAGATTTGAATTTTCCCTCCTACTACTGAACGATTGCAGCTCCATAATAACATTAAGCTAATTTCAGAATCTTACAGCTGTATGATGCTCATCACTTAATAATTATGAGATAATTAATTTGCTCTACTGGGAATTTAGTAGCTCCAAACCTGGCAGAGAAGATCTAGCTTCTGCCTGAAATTTTCAAAAATTGCTGGTGAAAATTTTTGTTATATGAGCAATTTAAAAAATTGCTTGTATAAACATTTCGATTATCTTATTTATAGTATTTTTGAGCCATTTTTTATGGATTTGCAAGTCATGATTCTATTTCTTTCAGCTGTGAATTTCACATCCATGCCATGAGCCATTTATGAGCTGCAAAGTCCTGTGCATGGGTTACCCAATATCTCTAATTGTACCCTAGAAACATCTACAAGTACATTTTTCTTTACTTTAGAGTTACCTGAACACCTGATGATGTATTGTTCACGTTTTTGTTGAAGAATAAATGCAGTTATAATGACAGTCGGACTGACCACAACTATGCAATCTCCAACAAAATGTTCTAGGTTGTGCCATTATGCAAGATATTTTGGCAGGAGCGTTGTACTAAGCACCATGGAAGTTGAAAATATTGCGAAATGATATGCTTGTGAACTGCAATTCCTTCAATCAAACAAAAATACATTACATTAGAGCCATGAGATTTCATATCCACTGAATTTATATGATATTAGAGCCGCAATATTTCAGAAACAGTAGTACTTTTCCCAATTATGTATTGGGAAATATGTTATGTACCCAATACAATTATGTATTGGGAATACCTGTGCAATAAGCACAGGTATTATGCCACAGTCATGGTTAGTTTATGCCAGTTTACCAGAATGGTCTGAAAGAAGCTCAGAAACTAGATATGGATATTCCATGTGAGCTTGCAAAACTATGTATACAAATTTTATTTATTTAGATGTAGGCAGGCATGGAATATATCTAATGATCTCCCATAAACAATAATACAGCAGCTACTTCCCTCACTCCAGATGTGAGTGAGAGCTAAACTTGGAAATTAGGCAGATGCTACTATGAATAAGATAGAAACACATGGCTGTGCAGACAATTTCTCCTCTTCCTATAGCCATTTGCTAATTTAATTTGTAAAAATGAGAAAAAAATTGTTAATTTGTTGCTTTAAGTTTCAAAAATTGCCTGGAAACAATCATTGTCAATGGCAAATTTTAGAAAATTATGCTTGATATTCCAGATTAAAGTGACAATTCAACTGAAAAATTGGGCTAAAGCCACCTGTTAACAATAGACTAGAATGATCATGATCTCAGACAATTTTACCCTTACCTATGTCCCCTGTGCAATTTATCCTTGAAAATTTTAAAAATGGCATGTTTGGCCTGCAGTTTTGGAAAATCATTTGTGCAATGATTGATTATATTGGTGATTTTTGGCCAATTTTCACAATATTCAAAATTAATGTGGGAGTCATTCAAGTTCTAACTAAAAATGATAGGCAAATGATGTACAAATCATGGCATTGTTTTATTAAGATTATTGGATAGAATCTCTAGTATATATATTGAAATTAGGTAGATGATATCCAATTTATCATTCCAAGCACTTGATTTTAATCATTCCATTTGGAAATTATTTAACATCAACCTCGTTCATTTGAAAACAAATTTTGAGTGCAATTCATCTAACTAAAATTACAGTACAAATTTTTTTCCCATTATTAGGGAATGAATGATTTGCTTTGCTTCTATAAAAGAGAACATTTGACACCAAGCATCTTCATTTAAATAAGGATTAAAATCTTCCAACTTCACTCACTTCCACATGCCAGCTCAATTATTTCCCTAGCAATGTTCTAAAGATATAACTGCTGAATGAATTTTTAAAACTTTTGTGTACAGATATACAGCTGTTTTTTATAATTTGTCACAGAATCTGAGGGATTTTGTGTGTATTAGGTGATGGTAATCTGCAGTCATCCCATTCAATCATGTCCCATAAAATATCCAAGTGCCAAGTTTTGCTGCACCAACTCCCTGCAGCTGCCGTGGGGAGGGGCTGGTGTGCCATGCCAAGCCTCGCTCAAGTGTGTGCTGATGCTGGCAGTGTGAAGTGTGAAGGTGAGCCAGGCATTTTGCTCCATCCTGCACTTATAGTTAAAAGGCATGGTTGTATGTAGTAGTTCTGTTCATGGTTGGAAATTGAATCCAAAGTTTTGTAATTTACACATTTTCAGACAAGAATTTCCATATCAAACAATTATTACATTACAATTATTCCATTACAAACAATTATTCCATTGCAAACAATTATTCCATTACAAACAATTATTCCATTACAAACAGTTATTCCATTACAAACAATTTCCATTACATTACAATCAATTATTCCATTACAAAAAATCCATTACATTTACCTATTTAGGAAATAACTAAAAGCTTCCTATGTTGAGGAAACATTTTCCTGAGGAACATTTTTCACCTTACTTCACTGTTTCCTTTTTGCAGTTTTGGATGCTGGGGCTGCCTCCTCAGCCCCTGAAGTTCCAATTGGGAACATCAAGGAGGAGCTGTTGGATGAAATGGAGATTATAAGTGTAAAGGATGAACCATTCAATTATGATGAAAAGGTACATATGTTAGCTGGCATCTGAAAACTTGATTATGATATAATCTTTTGTCAAAAGCAACAAAATTTTGAATAAAAAAATGTAAAATTTGACATATTTTATATATGCATGTATCTTGCAAAACAATGTTTTATACTAACGAACATATGTGCCAAACACAGCAAGATTTTCCAGAAAGATTGTTTTCTTATTAATGGAAATATTTTTTTATCTCTCTTGGCAGGCATGTGAGCCTCCCAGCCCTGGTTGTGGGGACCCGCTAGTCCCTCCTCCCCCGCTGTGTGTGCCCTGCAAGAGGGAAGCGCCAAGTGAGGCTCGTGAGTCTCCCCACGCCCCCCAACAACCCTCAGCCATGGCAGGGGTGACAGAAAAACAGGTGGGGAGGGTTTGCCAAGGAAAAAATCGTTATGTTGTTAGGTCATCTCCTGTGTTGTTGAATTGAATTAAAAATTATTTTGAGTGAACTTTGTATGAAGATCAAGAATATAATTAATGAATCTGTAGATCTCTTTGTTGCTTAATCCATGATTCGTAAAAAATTTTAATATCAAGTTCATAATATTCATGAAAGTTCTCAGTTGAGTTAGTCTTCTTAAAGCCCAGCAGCTCAACAATAAGTTTGTTTCTTTCCTTTTTGAAGACCTTGATATATTCATGCCTAAATTCCTAAGTATTTTTCCTGATGCGTGCCCAAGGGTAGGTAGAGAGAAGAAATATTTATGCTAGGCAAGACCCTCAGAATATTCAGGCTAGGCATGACCCTCAAAATATATATGCTAGGCAAGACCATCAGAATATTTATGGCATCGTTCCTCATATTGAGTCTGCATTCACCAGGACAATATTTACTGAAAAAATATCATGACCACATTTTTCCCATTTTTGAAAGTTAGTTTTCTATGCCTGCAGTCATTAGCTTGTAATCTAGTTTTTTAGTGGGTTTGGTCAGCCATGTGCTCCTTGGAAGGATGTTCCCAGTGAGGCTGTCATGGGCATCAGTGCATCAGGAGTGTGGGGTGTTGGCGTGCATATTTTGTATGGTTTGTCTCTGCAGCAGCGGCTGGTGGCGGTGGCCACGTCTCTGCAGCAGCGGCTGGTGGCGGTGGCCACGTTTCTGCATCATCCAGCTCCAAGCATCTCTCCCAGCAGCTGCAGCGACATATTCCTGATAAACATGCACGCAAGAGAACCTTTCACTGTGCTAATTGCGAATATGTTTGTCTTTTTAGGCACAATTTAAGTCGGCATATTCTTTATAAACATTCAGCAGAAAAACCTTTCACCTGCTCTGAGTGCTCATATACTTGCGTCACAAGAACAGATCTAAAGAAACATATTCTTTCCAAGCATACAGCAGAGAAACCTCTTTCCTGCTCTGAGTGCTCATATACTTGCGTCCAAAAATTAGATCTAAGTAGACATATTCTTAATAAACATTCAGCCGAGAAACCTTTCACCTGCTCTGAATGCTCATATTCCTGCGTCACGCAACGAAATCTAAGTAGGCATTTTCTTTATAAACATTCAACAGAGAAACCTTTTACCTGCTCTGAATGCTCATATGCTTGTGTCACACAAGAAGATCTACGTCGACATATTCTTTCCAAGCATACAACAGTGAAACCTTTTTGCTGCTCTGAATGCTCATATGCTTGTGTCACACAAAAAGATCTACGTCGACATATTCTTTTCAAGCATACAACGGTGAAACCTTTTACCTGCTCTGAATGCTCATATGCTTGTGTCACAAGAACATATCTAAAGCGACATATATTTTCCAAGCATTCAGCTGAGAAGCCTTATGGCTGTTCTCAGTGTGAATATTCTTGCGTCGATCGTCGCTATCTCGATCGACATATTCTCCGTATGCATTCTCGAGCAAAACCTCACCCAATGGAGTGAAAGTGAAGTGAAATTCTTGATTAATTTACGATATAAACGAGTGAACCTCCGTTGCTAGATGCTGTTCCCGGTGCCCCAGGCTCAATTATCTTGTTGATATTGGCACGGTGCTGTCAGGTGTCAATCAGGCGTCTCATTCTATTCATTATAATTGAGACGTAATATTCACTAGACGTGATATAGATTGATGTAAAAGTGCTAGACATGAGTCAGCATGGGCACCATCACGCGAAAGATCACGCGATCAAGCCCTCAGTAGTGGGCGGAAGCCGTGATTCTATAAAAAGGCTGGGAACCTTAGTAAGGCCCCCGCAGAAGCTGACAAGCACACCCCCCGCGATGTAACTCGCTGTAGAGTTACATCGAATCAAATCACTCTTGCCTTACCACCCCGTATCAAGATAAGTTCTCTAGACATATGGTGTTTTGCTTATCCCTCACGAACTTAGACACGAATCCCCGTTCTCAGGTTTAGGTAGAAACATAAAAAGTCTGAATGTGCATATACAATGATCCGGGACATTACCCACAGCTGGATATTTTCATTGCATAATTAACCAACTGCTTGCTAGAAACCACGAGACAATTTATAAAATATTAAGAAGTTTGATGTGTAAAAATTTGAACTTGTTCTTGAATGTTTACATGAAAATTGTCATTGCATAGAAATACCTCTTTTCAATGCATATAATGTGCTTCTTACTATTTTCTCGCGACTTTTCAGTGTTTTCAGTATTTTTGGACAATAAGTATCAGAGTATGGACATTGAGATTTAATTCAGACGTATTATTGGCTAGATGCTGAAGAGATGAACGGAGACGCCGAATTTGCATCAGCAAAATCGCACGAGCAAGACCGCCCCATGACGCTCATCCAGGGTACAGCATGCAAGGCTTTAGCTTAGGGTCAGGATTGCTGCATACAAGGCTTTAGCTTATGGGAAGGATTTCTGCATACAAGGCTTTAGCTTATGGGAAGGATTTGTTACTCTGCCCACCAAGTGTGGGAGCGACGTGGTGGCCCTCGGGCGCGGTTCATGGGAATATCCAGCCTGGCATCAATAGTTGCAGCTGCTGCCGTGGTGGTTGCCGTCTTTTGTCCATCCAGGCTTGACCCTTTTTGTGATATTGAGTTGAAGGCTAACGTTTTTTTGTAACTTTTATATATTATCGCATCTATTTTGTTTTCTGAAGTTCATTTCAACGTAATCCGATTTCTCTGCTGTCACTTTCAGGGTTCAAATAACTGATGATATTTTAGTTAAGTTCCTGTTTTATTTTCCACGCATATCTCGTGTGTGTGGAACGCTGACCAGGTGGAGGCTGAAGTAAAAAGCATTGATTTCATATTGACTTTTTTCTCCTCATATCTTTTCAAGGTGGCGACCCTCATGAAACTTGTTTAAATGCACAGTGTACAATTATAGTTATTCTGAATAGAGATGGTTGAAATTTAAAGTATTTTGCCTTTGTTATTTGTTTACTTTGCTATTTCTTATTGAACAGATTGTTTCAAAAGGCTAGGAGAAGTTTGTTTTGACTTGGCTATTGTCAATAGGACGTCATAACATAACCTGAACTGGCTCCACTTAACCTATCCTAACTTAATCTTTAGGAAAATCAATTCTCATCAAATACGTTGCCGATTAGAAAATTTAGACTATGCTCCAGGTGGCGATGACGAATTGACTTAGTTTCATGATAGGCACTTGCATAAAACGTGGGCTTGAGTCCGACGATGAGTTCAGCGAAATGAAGAATCTGTGTTACTACAAGGATTCTTTTGACACGTACCATATTATGTTGCGTTATGAATTTTGTGCAACTTCAATGGGCAACGTAGCCCAGTGCAGTGATTACAGTTCAGAGTACCGAGATTTGAGCAATGGATGCGAGTTTGAACCAAGCTTCTCGTTACAGTAATGGTCATAATATGCTAGTCGGCCGTGTGGCAGATAACAGCAAATTTTTAGCACTGAATTGTGGGTTTAAAATCACAGTAAGCCTTAAACATTCTGTAATGTAGAGAATCAGCGATGAGCAAGATTTGGCCTCGTCAATGCTGACAATAATATTTGTAGAAATGCTTTAAAAATGGAATGGACATGATTATGAGCGTTTTGATGTGCTGGAATTCAGGAGTATTTGTTCTTATAGAGTCCATAGTAATGACATGTAATGCATTAGCGACTTGCCGGCGCCTTATGCCTATTCCTCACTAAATTGTTCTGTTAAGAACAGTCTGAATTATGACATCTATTATGAAATACAAGCAAAAAATCTGCTTTCAAGAATGGATTTTGATCATGTAGTAATTATGAACATAGAATCACACAATAATGCACCATACATAGTACCTATGTTGAATCTTTGATATTCACTCAGAAGCTGCTCCGTTTCATATAAAAAATCCGGAATCTACATTTTCCGCGCCGTATGACAGATGTATTTTTCGCCGCATGTTGAAGTTGAACTCACGGGAGCGCTGCCGTAGCCCAAAAATTTAACTCTTAAATCAGCCCAAAAGCCAATGCCAACCCTCTACATGCAATAGAAATAGTCAGTCTAATACCTATGCAGCTGTTCTTACTTGCCTCATCTCGCCACACCAGCTTGAAACAAGCAATGCCTCATCCCACAAACTGATACTACATAGTACATGTGTTGAATCTTTGATATTTACTCAGAAGATGCTCCGTTTCATAATTCATATAAAAAATCCGGAATCTCTATATTTTCCGCACCGTATGACAGATTTATTTTTCGCCGCATGTTGAAGTTGAACTCACCGTCGCTCTCAAAGTACTGCTACCCCGTCCGGACGTGAGGCAAGTGGTGAAGAATCAAGTACCTGTAATGAAGTCTGTGCTTCATCGGGGTTCGTTTCATTCGGAGACTTAATACATTTAGGAACACCAACAATTTAATACAATTTAATGGAACAAAGCAAGAAGCAAAATTTACATTAAGAGTTAACACCATACATCTAACTATCTGGCACATTAGCTACTCGGTCTACCGATTTGTTGGTGTTGCTGTTTTTAGGGTAAAATTATAGATTTGGGGTAACACCTGCACAGGACTTTGTAAATGAATTTGCGGCTCATAAATGGCTCCTCTTGGTCAACGATGGCCAAAATATGGAATTCACGGCTCCAAAAATGGAATCATGGCTTGCAAATCCATAAAACAGTGGCTCAAAAAATCCAGTTGCAGTTAAGGGAGTAAATATTTTCCTCGTTAGCCTGCACAGGCTGTTAGGATCATAGAATGCGACCGAGATTGGAAATTTCCTACTCAATGCTGAAATATTGTGGTTCCAAAGTGGCATATTCTAAATAATATTAAAATCTTACATCTTTATAATGCATTTTAGTTTACAATTATATAGAAGAAAATTCATCTACTCGGAATTTTGCTGCTCCAAAAATGGTAGAAAAGCTCTTAATAGCAATTTGTGATATTGAGCAGAAATTTTAAAAAATTTGCAAGTAAAAGCTATTAATTTATGGGCATTTTTGAAAAATTGCTTGCAAAATTGGGCAAATTTGAATATTTATCATAGAATAAATTAGATTAGAGTCACAGAAACACAGAAATGGGTGACATTGAGTGCAAGCAGTCATTTTTGTCTCATTGATAGGAGTCTTCTGCCCAATTTTTTTATAATGGTCTAATAGTGGCTCAAAGTATAGATATACATAGTACATGCCAACTTGTAATATGATGGATACAAATTGTATCTATTTTATTGCAGGCAGGTGTGAAATATATCTACTGGCCTCCCATAAATGTGAATACAGGAGCAACCTCCCTTACTCAAAATGTGAGTGAGTGCCAAACTGGAAAATTTGGCAGAAGCTACCTGTAAATAAGACAAAAACATGTGCACACAGGCAATTATACCATCAAACGGGGTAATAATGGACGGTTTTGAGCGTTTTTCCTTAATAACTTCTAACCATGAAACATTTCACAAACGAGTTTGGGCTCATTTGAAAAGTATTTGCAAGGGCTATCGTATGGCATCTTGGCAAAAATTCCATAAGCTATTCATAAGTTGCCAGATGCAAAATAAAAGCCTCCTGAACTAACCCTGAGAATGGGGTAATAAGGGACATTTAAAATAAAACTCGATTTTAAAACGTTTGAAGCATGCAAAGTGTGCTTATACATTACTAACAGTACTCTGAAGTCTTCCTCTTCCTTTGTAGATGATGTACCTACATGTAGAATAAATGACATTTTCAGTGATTATTACTTGGTGCCCCATATATTTTTTTACTTGGTGTCTCTTATTACCCTGTCATGCATGTCCCTTATTACCCCACAATTCTTTCCTGGGATGAGATACTCTTAATTCAGTCAATCACATTTTTAAGCCAACACCTGTGTGCAACTTTTATGTAAGTAAAATTTTTTAATAGGGAGAATATTTTTTTTTGCTATAGACCTTAGCAGAGGTACTTTTCCAAAATCTCACTTTTGACACTTTTTTTCAAGGATTTTTAGAGGTAGTAAATGTATGATTTCTCAACTTTCTTTATGCTACATAGATAGAAAAAATGTTTAACTTTATGCCACTATTTTCTGTTTTGCAATATATTGATTATTTTAGCTGCTACAACATTTCTACAAAATGTCAGAGGACTGTCCCATATTACCCCACCTGTTCCTTATTACCCCTCCTGTCCCTTATTACCCCACCTGTCCCTTATTACCCCGTTTGATGGTACCTTTTCTTGTAGCCCCTTCCTAATTGAACCTTTTCGCCAAAAAGCATAAAAATATGCAGAAATTTGAATTTTTAGAGCCTCTATGGGGCAGTATTGATAACTATAAGATAAATTTACTCATGTGGAATTTCAAAATTTTGCACAATATTGTAGTAAATTGCAGATAAAATTTCCATGAAAAGCAGGCACTATGCAAAAAGAAATTTAAATTATATTGCTTTGTACATTCAATTTCAAAGACAAATTATAGAGCAGCCATATGATTTAATGTATCTGGCTACTTTAAATTCTTGAAGTTTTTATTGATTCTTTTTCCATCTTTTCAAAAAAATGTGGAAAAAGCATTAATTTCACTGTTTGAGTCAAAACATTCATTTTAATTCTTGTATTTTAATTCTTGGGCATGAAAGAGGGTGAAGGTGTTTGGAGGCAAGACAACAAAGCCTCACACACACCCAAGGGGACAAGCTAGGCTATTTGGAAGGAGCTTATAAGTGACTATATGTGGTAACTTGCCTGATAAAGGGTTAATTAAAAGATAATATTAAATATAAGATGAAAAATTATTGTTTTGCTAGTAGTTCTTGAAAATCACTTGTGAAATGATTGCTGTTACCTGCAGTTTTTGGAAAATATTCCGCAAATTAGAAATTGTAGTGAGAGTTAGTCATAACTAAGAAAATGGGTTGGTTACAGTTCAGTGTACCAGGATTGTGGCAGTGAGGTTTGGGTTTAATCCCAGCTCTGTATGACAGTTTCTGGTTAAAATCAGCAAGGAAGCTTGGCTGTTAAGCGCAGCAGAATTAGAGCAGTGAGTTACATGTTTGAGACCACAGCAGGCTGTGAATCTTCTGCAATGTTGAGAATCGGTGGCAGATCTAATAGCCAAATCAATGTTGAAACTGCTCCTATTATAACTAATGATATGCAAACTAGGGCATGGCTTGATAAAATTTGTAGATAGAATCTTTAGACAGCAACCTCATTCAGTTAAAAGCAAATATTGAGCGCAATACATCGAACCCAACAAAAAGTACAGGACAAAAATTTTTCATTGTTTTTAAGGAATGACTGAGTTTAAATTTACTTATCCTCTATAAAATAGAGCATTTGACAACCATTTCAAGAAGGGTTCAAACTTCACCCATTTAAACTTACGCAGCAAAGGGCTTGTCAGCTAATGGATTTCCCTGGGGAGGTTTTAAAATTGTAACTGCTTAATGAATTTTTTGTGCAGATGTATTTATATATACAGATTTTCTCAATAATGTGTCACATAGCCTGAATATTTTATTTTTATCAGTTATTACACATCTACAATCATCACATACTATCATGGCAAGCAATGCATTCAAGTGCCGGGTTTTGCTGCACCAACTCCCTGCAGCTGCCGTGGGGAGGGGCTGGTGTGCCATGCCAAGCCTCGCTCAAGTGTGTGCTGATGCTGGCAGTGTGAAGTGTGAAGGTGAGCCTGGCATTTTGCTCCATCCTGCACTTATAGTTAATTGGCATGGTTGTATGTAGTAGTGCTGTCTTTGATCATAAATAGATAACAGGTGTTATGTATTTGTTGATTGTTAACAGATGTCATGGTCAATTTAATGCAGAAAATGAGAATAAATATAATAATATGAAGAAGAAAGCCTTCCATCAAGCCTCTTCCATAAAAAATAACCTGCTTTTAGCTGTAGAAATTTTTCATGTGTGGACACATTTTTAATTGATACTATCAGCAATAAGTAACTTCTAATTACCTGACTGTAGATGAATTAGATAATATTTGGAATTTACAGGTTCTCGGACAAACAGGCTAAGGATAGAAAGAAATTTCCATTATAATCTTACAACGCAACAACTAACCTATTTGGAAAATGAATAATGATTTTCTATGTGGATGAAACATTTTATTCTCAGGAACATTTTCAACATTGCTTCACTATTTACTTTGTGCAGCTTTGGATGCTAGTTCTGCCTCCTCAGCCCCTGAAGTTCCAATTGTGTATGTCAAGGAGGAGTTAGTGGAAGCCATGGAGCCAGTTCATGTGAAGGAGGAGTCATTCAATTATGATGAAGAGGTACATGTGTTAGCTTAGATGGCAACTGAAAATCTGAATTTATTCAATTCTTCTGTAGAATTTAACAATGGATTGGTTGAAAGAATGTGTATATTTAAGTTATATTGTTTATTGAAAAAAAAATGTATCAACCAAAATGAATCTTCAAAAAGTTTTTAACAAGTTATACTGATAGGTGAGGAAAACACACAAAATGAGTAGCCTTGAAATTAATGTACCAATTCTCCACTAATGTTTTGTCAAGATTTCCAAGATTGATGGTTTCTTATGAGCTCCAAAATTATTTTTACCTGTCTTGGCAGACACATGAACCTCCCAGCCCTGGTTGTGGGGATCCGCCAGTCCCCCCTCCCCCGCTGTGTGTGCCCTGCAAGAGGGAAGCGCCAAGTGAGGCTCATGAGGCTCCCCACGCCCCTCAACATTCCTCGTTGATTGATGGGGTAACAAAATTTGTGGTTGGTAGTGTTGGTCTAGAGGAAAACATTTATATATTCCCTGGTTGTTGAATTGACTATTACATTGTGTATGAAGATAAGGTGAATGATTAATCAATGAATTCTTGGGTTTTTTCCCAATCAATTCTTGAATCCTAATAAAATTTAATTGCAAGGTGTAAGTCATGAAAATGTTTTATTTTGAGTGAAAGCATTTAGAAGCCCATCAGCTCCAGCTTGTTATGTGCATGCTTAAAGTTCTAAGTAATTTTTTCTGATGCTTGCCCTTGTGTAGGTGATAATACTGAATTTTCTGATAACCTCTGAATACCGCTGGGAATTCATTATATTGAGCAATCATTCAACAAGACAGCATGGATAGAAAAAATAGGAAGATCCGCTTCTGCTTTTTACTCAATTTCTGAGCCAGTGATGCAATTGTTGCCACAAAATCTCTTTTGTTTAAAAAATAATTTTTCTCGGCCTGCAGTCTTTAGCATATAATATAATTTGTTAGTGGGTTTGGTCAGCCAAGTGCTCCTTGGAAGGATTTTCCCAGTGAGGCTGTCATGGGCATCAGTGCATCAGGAGTGTGGGGTGCTGGCGTGCATATTTTGTATGGTTATTTGTTCTGTACACTTCATTCCTGTTAATATTTTATAATATTTTTTTCTCGCTACTTATTTCTTTATTGTTTTTTAAATTTTCTTATCGGTTTTGTGTAATTATTTTATTTATTATTTCTGTAGATGCTGATGGCAAAATGGTTTTCTGAAATTTTTTTCAGGAATTGCTTAACCCCCCCTGCAAGCATAGGAACATGCAGAAATTCAAATTTGTGGAGCTTTACTAGAAATTATAGAGAATTATCAGATCAATTTACTTGTACTGTTAGATGACAGTACTCATACAATTTAGATGTCTCGCATTGCGGGTGAGGTACTCCGTGTTACCTACTTTGAATTTGGTTTGGCAACAACCCTTCTTTCTATTAAATTAAAAGGCAAATGAAAAACTGGTGTCTTATATTATAAATTGAAATGAAAATACAGTGCCAATGATTAACAATAGAATAATTAATTATTGAGTGGTCATAACACAGTGTAATGAGTGGATGAGTTTAATTGCGGTCAGGAGTTATGAGTTGTGAACTGGTGATTAGGGATAGGGAGCATGGACAGGGTTTTCAGTTATTCCATAATTGGTGAACTGAGAAATAAATAATACAAAAATCAATAACCTGTCCAACTAGATAATAATACTAAGCCTGAAGGGAAATTGAGTGTTAAACTGATGCAGTAAATCCTTAAAATAAATTCTTAATTGATGGCAAGCTGGTTGCGTGCAGCAAGCACGAAATATGAAAAACAAAACAGACAAACATTATAATATTTGGAGTGAAATTGGTAAAACATTTGCAAAGATAAGCTAAAACCAGAACCAGGATAAACCTCTCAAATAATTGGTAAAAGTTGTGAAGTTTTTAAGATAAATACATGAAATCAAAGCATTCATGAATAAATTGCAAGCAAAAGACAGTTGAAATAAGAATTGCAATAAACATTGGATGATAAGTGAAGCACTAACAAAGTTAATCATCCAGATTACCATGTAGCAAAATTATGGGACAGCCACAAAACATCTTTGCAATAAAAAGGATCACACCTAATTAAACTCACCAACAACTTGTGGCAGTTCCACTTAACGACTCGTTGATTTAGGGATCAGCAATTGCACTTGCTTAGTCTCTCACTTACTTTCACAATAATAAGCAAAGTTGCCATAAATAAATAAATTTACAGGCTGAAAAGAACAGAAAGAAAGCATACATTCAACAATAATTAACATGAAAACATTAATTCAACAATAATTTGTATATAGAGAGCAGATGATTGGGTGAAAAATATGGGTAGATGCCTCCTGGCAACAGTATGAATTTGTAGAAATTTTCAATAATATTGGAGAAATTGCCAACAAAAATTTCATAAAAAGTGGTCACTACACCAAAAGAAATTGAAATTTTCTTATTATATTCAATCTATTGCAATGGGAAATAATCAAGCTGCAATTTGATTTAATTGCCTCTAGCTACTTTTAATTAAACAAATTGATATTGCTTCTTCAGATTTTTTGCAAAAATGCGTAAGGACATCAATTTCATTGTCCGAGTCAAAACTTTAATTTATATGCTCATGTTTGAATTCCTAGGCATGGCAGGGGTGAAGATGTATGATTGGAGATTGTCATAGGCGTAATAACGTAGCATCACACATAAACTAGGGGACAAGCTGGGCTTTTGGTAACTTGCCCACAAAATGCTTAATGTTCATTCATTTTACTTTAAATTTTTTTTTTGTAAATTGCAATTTACAAAATAAATTACAATTTTAGAATGAATTAAGACTTTACCAAAAAGTTTTTGCCTCAAAAATTTTGTGCTTAGAAATAACCAGTTGATTGCTGCTGTTATTTGGGTTGAAGTGACGTGTCTTGGTGTGAGCAGCCCAGCAGCGGCAAGTTGTCCACGGCTGGGAAAGCTGCTGGCGATTTCCACGTCTCTGCAGCAGCGGCTGGTGGCGGTGGCCACGTCTCTGCAGCAGCGGCTGGTGGCGGTGGCCACGTCTCTGCAGCAGCGGCTTGTGGTGGTGGCCACGTCTCTGCAGCAGCGGCTGGTGGCGGTGGCCACGTCTCTGCATCATCCAGCCCCAAGCAGCTCGCCCAGATGCTGCAGCAACATATTCCTGATAAACATGCACGCAAGAGAACCTATCAATGTGCTGATTGTGAATATGTTGGTCTTTTTAAGTGTAATTTAAGTAGGCATATTCTTTCCAAGCATACAACAGAGAAACCTTTTTCCTGCTCTGAGTGCTCACATACTTGCGTCACAAAATTAGATCTAAGTAGACATATTCTTCATAAACATTCAGCAGAGAAACCTTTCACCTGCTCTGAGTGCTCATATACTTGCGTCACAAAATTAGATCTAAGTAGACATATTCTTTATAAACATTCAGCACAGAAACCTATTACCTGCTCTGGATGCTCATATGCTTGTGTCACACGATCAGATCTGAAGAAACATATTCTTTTCAAGCATTCAGTCGAGAAACCTTTCACCTGCTCTGAATGCTCATATTCCTGCGTCACACAACAAAATCTAAGAAGTCATATTCTTTATAAACATTCAGCAGGGAAATCTTTTACCTGCTCTGAATGCTCATATGCTTGCGTCACACGAACAGAGCTAAAGCGACATATTCTTTCCAAGCATTCAGCTGAGAAGCCTTTTTGCTGCTCCGAGTGCTCATATGCCTGTGTCACACAACGAAATCTAAGTAGTCATATTCTTTATAAACATTCAGCAAAGAAACCTTTTAAATGTTCTGAATGCTCATATGCTTGCGTCACACGATCAAATCTAAATCGACACTGTCTCTCCAAGCATTCAGCTGAGAAGCCTTTTGCCTGTTCCCAGTGCGAATATTCGTGCGTCGATCGTCGCGATCTCGATCGGCATATTCTCCGTATGCATTCTTGATCAAAAACTCACCCAATGGAGTGAAATTCTTGATTAATTTACGATATAAACTTGTGAACCTCCGTTGCTAGGTGCTGTTCCCGGTGCCCCGGGCTGAATTTTCTTGTTGATATTGGCATGGTGCTGCCCGGTGTCAATCAGGCGTCTCATTCTATTCATTATAATTGAGACGTAATATTCACTAGACGTGATATAGATTGATGTAAAAGTACTAGACTTAGTCAGCATGGGCACCATCACGTGAAAGATCACGCGATCAAGCCCTCAGTAGTGGGCGGAAGACGTACTTCTATAAAAGGGCTGGGAACCTTAGTAAGTCCCCCGCAGATGCTGACAAGTACACCCGCCGCGATGTAACTCGCGNTTCTGTTGCCCCGCATGCGTCGATGTCGAGTGACACAAACTTATGTGGGCTCAACGGGACAGGGAAAAGTTGACGTGCTTTTTCTCCCGTTTATTTCATATACTTGAGTGGCGTAAGCTGGAAATAAGATTTAATATTAGTTAATAGGTCGAGATAGACACACATGAAACTTAAACTAGGCAGGGGCTGGACTCTCATTGATTAGACTTGAGTAATAAACGTTGTAGATGAGCGTTCTTAATTGATTACTCGATAACAAGATTGCAACTGGAATGACACGAATTGTTTATGTTAGCATGGTTGCGGTATTTCATTTGTTACTTACACGAGGTGGTTTGGCAGGCAAGAAGAAGAGACTATTGCTGGCGTTTTCTCGCTTATGCTAGCGTTTGCCAACGCTGGGTTGGGCTTTGAAATTGATTACTAAGTATGACAGTGCCAACGCTGGGTTGGGCTTCGTTTACGATTAGTGCCAACGGCTGCGGTTGGGCTTGGCCTTCGATTACGATACCTGAAATCATGAGGTTGGAGGTTAAGTTAAGATGACAATATCTTAAAGTTACCTGAAATGCTTCAAATTAAGAGAGATGTAATGAATCACATGTCGGCACTCGCCAGTAAGGTTCGATGAGGCTGTAAGCGGAGAACGAAGTAGTATCCCTTCAAACTTTCTATGAGATTGTGTCGAAGAAAACGGAACGGCGTCTTTGCTACATGGTTAAGTAACATTCAAATAGCCACAACAGCAAAAGTGAGGCAAATGGCCTACCAAATATTAAGTCAGTACATCCAGTTATGCGACAAATATTTCCTTTTCAAAATAATTACTCATAGACGAATTCATACTAGAAAATAGATATCAACTATGATATTAGAGCCTATGAGCAGTTGTTCGTGACGATGGTCGCCAACAATGTCTAGACGCAGCGTTACTTACAGTAACGCTTATAATATTCACTCAATGACATGAACATGGAATCACAAATTCTGGAATCATACACATTAACGAACGATAGAGAAATATATAAGCCTAATGAGCTATAGCCACATATTAAGGGTAACACCGGGAGGGCTCGCGAAGCAACACACTACTCGCTCGAGCTCTGGACACGCACTGACGCTGTTAGTAATACGCACTGACTCTTGAGGGCTCGCTGCGTTCATTTACCACTTTGTGGTAACTTCGTTGATCTTTGCGATATTTTCCACGCACTTGTGGAGTGTACGCCGGGATGAGTGAAGATTTTAAGTAAGAATAGATGAGGATAGGAAAATTTAGTGCGTTGAATCTTACAAGTGACGAACGACGTCACAGTTCTTTTGACGCGTACCATATTATGTTGTGTTTTAAATTGTGTAAAACTTCGAGGGCAACGTAGCCCAGTGATTACAATTCAGAGAACCGAGATTTGAGCAGTGGATGCGTGTTCCAACCAAGTTTATCTTCACAGTAATGGTCAAAATATGCTAGGCGGCCTGATGGCAGAGAGCAGCAAAATTTTAGCACTGAATTGTGGGTTTAAAATCAAAGTAAGCATTAAACATTCTGCTATGTAGAGAATCAGGGTTTAGCAAGATATGGCCTCGTCAATGCTGACAATAATATTAGTAGAAACGCTTTAAAATTGGGATGGACATGATTATAAGCATTTTGATATGCTGGAATTCAGGAGTATTTGCTCTTAAAGAGTCCATAGTAATGACATGTAATGCAGCAGCGACTTGCCGGTGCCCTATGCCTATTCATCACTAAATTTTTCTGTTAGGAACAGTCTGAATTATGACCTCTAATATTAAATACGAGCAAGAAATCAGCTTTCAAGTATGGATACTGATCATGTGGTAATTATGTACATAGAATAGCACAACAATGCACCATACATAGTACATGTGTTGAATCTTTGATATTTACTCAGAAGATGCTCCGTTTCATAATTCATATAAAAAATCCGGAATCTCTATATTTTCCGCTATATGATAGCCCTTGCTATGAGCTATAAAAAGAGCCCAAACTTGTTTATGAAATGTTTCATGGTAAGAAGTTATTGACTCAAAACCGTCCCTTATTAACCCATTTGCAGAGGTGGGCAGTAGCGGCTTACATGTAGCAGCCGCTACTAGCGGCCGCTACATTTTCAGTAGCGGTAGCGGTCGCGGCTCTACATTTAAGGCAATGTAGCAGTAGCGGTAGTGCCCGCTACATATTTAAGTAGTGATACGAGGTTTTGCCGCTACAGCGCNCCTGCAGCAACGGGCCCTCCATGGAGCATAACCACGACGCGGGCCATGGAGGCAACGTCCCCTGCAGCAACGGGCCCTCCATGGAGCATAACCCCGACGCGGGCCAGCAACTGGGCCTGCCTAGTGGAGCGCACACAGCAAATTCTTCGTTTAAGGTCAAGCAAAAATTTGTCATCTGCATACACTGCGGGTGTAAATACATGCAAATTGCAGAAGAAAGTCTGGGAAAAATGTTTTTGCTTTATTCCGAAGCGCTGCAAAAACCTTCTCACTCATTACTCCAAAATTTACTCACTGAATTATTCGAAATTTCTGGGATCACGGAGATGAGTTTGTACCTCAAATTCAAAACAGATTTTACACCAAGGGCCATCGACAAAATTTTTTCCTATATTGAAAAAATTATTCAATGCATTTCTCCCACCAAGTTCGGTGACCAATTTTTCGAATATTATCATGAAAAATTTGAAGAGCTGGAACAATATATATTAGAAATATCTGTCCACATAGACGATACAATTTCATTCGAGAGAACGGGCTTTAATCGCAGTGAGCGCGTAAGTCATATTTTGCAGTCAATTCACAACATGGAACAAAGTTTCATTCGTGCGGGAGTCATTCTCGGCAAGATTTTCCACAATCTTTTGACTCCATTTTTATCCATTGATTCATTAGAAGAATTCGTCCCTAAGTCCGAAGAAGCGCAGCCTTGTCCGGTGTGTTTGGATCTCAAAATCAAACAAGACGACAACTTCACGATTTTGTCCAATTGTAAACACGTTTTCTGCGACTCTTGCATTACGCAGTGGCTGCAACAACAGTAAGTACAGGCTTTGATTTCACACTAAATAAGCCTTCAATTATGTGTATAATCCTGCTGATACATTTTTGACGCGCATATTATTTCAATAAGATTCTTATTCAAGTTCACGTTCTTACATGTCATTTTTAAATTTTCCTTGTCATTCATGAAGCTTCTTTAATTTTTTCGGTTTCATAATTTCGTTTTACTGTCATGTTCACAATTCAGTACATGCTATAAATTCTTTCTTCATTTATTGCCGTAGCAAATATTTAGTAATGAAGTGCTTAAAATATATTTCGTAATCTATTGCCGTAGCAAATAGTATTTCTTAATCAATGGCCGTAGCAAATATTTAGAAATTATGTGCTTAATAAATATTTTGCCATCAATTACCGTGGCAAATAGTACTTCGTTATAAGTTGCCGTAGCGAATGTTTAATGATAGAGTGCTGAAAAATATCTTTATTTGATTGCCGCAGAATGTTTTGCAATAAACTGCAGTAACAAATATTCCATAGTCAATTACCGTAGCGAAAATTGTTTAATTAATTCCAGTAACAAATTTTTTTTAATTATTCGCCATAACAAAATTTGTTTAATTATTTGCCGTAAAAATATTCCGTAATCAATCGCCGCAGCAAATGTTTAGTTACCAATTGCCGTTTAATATATTTCGTAGTTATTTGCCGTATTAAATATTCCGTAATTTTTTGTGTTGCAGTTGGTCGTGCCCGATGTGCCGCCAGCCTGTCAGCCACCGCGCCTGCCGCGACGAATTCCTGGCCTTCAAGGAGGACCAGCGCGTCCTGCAAGCCCTGCACGGCGTAGCGGGGGAAGATGGTGCGAGTGTCAGGTTGTCTACCGTAACTCCCTTAGTTGTGTTAGCACTTACAGCGTCACTTCCGTGACGTTACTATACTATGCCATTATAAGCTCCCCGAGCGGACCTTCAGTCAGTCTTGGGCATTTATAGGCGAGACGTAATAAAGTCATCATCATGTAGTCCGCAGGACCGCGCCAGACTCCGGCGTTGAGTAGCCTCCGTCGTTAGAGTAACAATCTAAAATCTACCATGTGTACTTACCACTAAGCTTCCTTGTATTCCTATCTAGTTCGTAAATATATTATTAGACAACTCGCCTCTCAATCAACCTGCCGCTTATTCGGACATAACTTAAAACCCTTGGACCCTCAACTCCAATAAACCTAAGAAGATCATCCGGTTATTAAACAATACTGAACATTGATATAATTATATATTATCGGGCCAGTCAAGTCAAAACCTTCCTGACACGAGCACCAGCTAACTGTGATAAAACTTGATGAAAACGAAGTTTAATCACCGTTCTTCATTAAATAATTTAACTACCGTCATAGATAATTTACTGTCTAGCGCTAACTTGATTGATTACATGTAATCAAGCAACATTGATGGTTAATACATCTATAAAAGTGAACGCCAATAACTTTTCATTCGCGACCACCCTCCTTTTTTGTCTCCTTCATACGTTAGTAAAAAATTCATTAGTAACCATTCGTTAGTAACCATTCGTTGGTAATCATTCGTTAGTAGGCGTTCGTTAGTGATCTTCCGTTAGTAACCATTCGTTTGTAACCATCGTTGGTAACCATTCGTTAGTAACCATTCGTTAGTAACCATTCGTTGGTAACCATTCGTTAGTAAGCATTCGTTAGTAACCTTTCGTTAGTGATCTTTCGTTAGTAACCATTCTTTGTTAACCATCGTTGGTAACCATTCACTAGTAACCATTCGTTAGTGATCTTTCGTTAGTAACCATTCGTTAGTAACCATTCGTTAGTGATCTTTCGTTAGTAACCATTCGTTAGTAACCATTCGTTAGTGATCTTTCGTTAGTAACCATTCGTTGGTAACCATCGTTGGTAACCATTCGTTAGTAACCATTCGTTAAAATCAACATAATCACTGACAATCAAAATAAATCGTTGAAAATCGAAATAATTCGTTGAAAACACAAATAAATCGTTGAAAATCAACATAATCATTGAAAATCAAAATAAATAGTTGAAAAATCAAAATATATAGTTTAAAATCAAATTAAATCGTTGAAAAAGGAAATATATCGTTGAAAATCAAAATAAATCGTCGCTGACATTGAGGCTTTAAGTAGCAATATCTTTTAAAATTCAATTGTCAAGCTTGAAAATATCAAGACCATGAGTTGTCTTTAAATTATTACTTTCTTTCTTGCTTAACCTGTTAGGTCGCGGCTCTATGTTAATTTGTTAAGTCACGGCCCATGTTTAGCTTGTTAAATCACGGCTCACGGTTAGCGTTTAAGTTACGGCTCACGGTTAGCTTGTTAAAATAAGGCTCACAGTAAGCGTTTTAAGTCACGGTTCACGGTTATCGCTTTATAAAACACGGCTCACGGTTAGCGTTTAAGTTACGGCTCACGGTTAGCTTGTTAAAATAAGGCTCACAGTAAGCGTTTTAAGTCACGGTTCACGGTTATCTTGTTAAAATAGAAGGCTAACGATTAGCGTTTAAGTCACGGTTCACGGTTATCTTGTTAATTTACAGTTCTAATTACAGGCTGTCCAGGCGCTAAGGTTTAAATGCTAGAAAAAAGTGGACGAGAACGGCTATGATACTGTATCCAGCGTGCATTCATTCAAAATAATCGTTTGCCAAAATGCATTCATTGATAGACATTATATGGGGTTTAAATTAATAGATGAACGCTTCTAAAAATGTGTTCTAATTTTCAAATTATGACGAAACATTGTAAGTCAATTTGTAAGATGAATATTAGTTAGTTATATTAGTTAAACCATTAACTTTTAACTAAACATCGTTCTTAAAACTGTATTTGCAAAGTATCAATTGAGCTGTAGTTGATTCCTTGATACTCAGACAGTGATTATGTCGAGAGTGAAACACCTTTATACAACTTCTAGGTGTTTGTTTCCTTAAATAGAAGCTAAATTGTATAAAATAAAGCTAAAAGAAAAATATTTCTTTCCTATCTATACGCTATTCGTCATTAATTATTTTAGTTGCTCCTCGAACATCGCTGTTCTTTGTCATTCGATTTGTTCATTGTAATCGGTGTTCTTTGTCACAGCCATGGAGGCAGCGAGAGAACGATCTCCACGGTCTAATTGGATTACATTTCCTTCAAGCTTAGCTTAGAATTCTTTCAAGTTTAGACCTTAAGCCGAACGACCAATCAGCTCATGGGAAAGAAGGTCACAACATATTTTTTTGTAATACGACTCGACCTGAGATAACAAGGAAGTTCCGTCACGCCTATTCTGCACCGTGATAATTCCTGTGACCGGACGCTTCCGTTTATGACTTCGGACCGCGGTAGGCCTAGGCCAAAATTCTCTCCTAAGCCACACGTTGCTTATGGCGGGCTAATGGTGTTTTGCTTTACGAATATATAATATTTTATGAATATGTTATGTTGTATGATTATCTTATGTTTTATGACTGTGTTATTTTGTATGAATATGTTAAGTTTTATGAATATATAAAGTTCTATGAATATGTTATGTTTATAAATATATAGGTTGACTTCAAACATGTAGGTTCATCATAAAAACTGAACCACCAATCCAAAGCTGAATTAGAGTTTGTATAGGTATCATTATACATATTATACAGAGACGTTGAGAATGTACATATAGCGTAGCGTTGTATCAAGTAATGTATGTGTGAGGCAATATAACGTAACGTTGTATCTTGTAACGTATTTGCTTCGGTCTCACCTTCCTTGAAATAGTCTTACCTTGATTCAATTTCTTTAATGTTCCTTCAACTCACGTCACCTTATTTATACTCATATTACCTCATTTAAAGACGTCGCAAATTATTTCAATTCATCTCATCTTTTTTCAACTCGACTCATCTTATTTCAACTAGTCTCATATTATTGCAATTCATCTCATCTTATTTCAACGCGACTCATCTTATTTCAACTAGTCTCATATTATTGCAATTCATCTCATCTTAATTCAACTCGATTCATCTTTTTTTAACTCGTCTCATATTATTTCATCTCGTCTCATATTATTTCAACTCGTCTCACATTATTTCAACTCGTCTCATATTATTTCAATTTATCTCATCTTATTTCAACTCGACTCATCTTATTTCAACTCGGCTCACCTCATTAATATCGTAATTAATTTGTACTTATTGGTTATTTATCTTAACATGACCGTAATAACTCGCTTAGGATGACGGTGATGTTCTGGTCTCATAATAATACATTGAAAGAAATAAGGACTTAAAACACAGAAGCAAATATTTCGTTATATTTTCAAAATTTACATTATGTACATAGAGTTCGGATAAAAAGTGTCGGTCATTTAATTGTAGCATTGTTAAGGCCAGATTATATTACAAGGATGGAAATGTTGATTTTCCATGCACAAAGTTTTATCACAGTCAGCTGGTGCTCGCACCATCTTCCCCCGCTGCGCCGTGCAGGGCTTGCCTGGCGCGCTGGTGATCAAGTTTTATCACAGTTAGCTGGTGCTCGCGCCATCTTCCCCCGCTGCGCCGTGCAGGGCGCGCTGGTCATCAAGTTTTATCACAGTTAGCTGGTGCTCGCACCATCTTCCCCCCGCTGCGCCGTGCAGGGCGCGCTGCATGGTCATCAAGTTTTATCACAGCTAGCTGGTGCTCACACCATCTTCCCCCCGCTGCGCCGTGCAGGGCGCGCTGCTCATCAAGTTTTATCACATTTTTTATATTTTTTCTATTTTCTCAGGGTCTTTTGTCCGAGAGGTCATTGGGGGCGAAAAGTGCAATGCTACCAGAACAATTTTCATTTTTCTGAGTGTAGGTGGTTGAGTTTTACTGACATACTGGGACCGGAAAAAGTTTTTTTCAATTTACTGTAATTTCCGAGCAATAACTTGTCTTGTTACTTTGAAAAATGTTGACAAATTTGTGCTGTAGAAATTTGGCAGTCCTTGCTTATCGACACTCGGTCAAATTTGAATTCCTTTTGGAAAATATATTCACATTTTTTCAATACACTTATGGCATTAATTTGAAGCTGGCTCGAAAGCAGCGTTAGCATCTCAAAGAGACGAAGTGACAAGGAAGGACAGGCGAAAAGCAACAGAAACTAAGACATTCGAACAAGAGGTCGCATAAACGGGACGTCGGCCGCCCGCACGAGAGACAGAGAAGGGAAATGTAAGGAATCCTGCCTACACAATAACTTAATGTAAGGAATCCTACCTACATAATAACTTAATGCAAGGAATCCTACCTACATAATAACTTAATGTAAGGAATCCTACCTACATAATAACTTAATGCAAGGAATCCTACCTACATAATAACTTGACCCCACAACCGAGACCTACAGTCAGACACCGCGAGCTCAGCGGTTGGGCGCTCAGGAACAATCCTCCACAGGGATTGTTCCCCCACTAGGAACGCGAAAGATTCAATCAATAAGATTCAATCCCCCACTAGGAACGTGAAATCCCACAGGACTTATGACGAGGACGAGCACAGACACACGTCAGAACCCCCCGTGAGGGGTATCGTTTTAATGAACTTGCGGGACACAACCTCGGATCCGGACAACTAAGAGCGGAGGCGTCGCTTAGTTTTGTTTATATTTCGGTCGAAGTGTAAGGAAACAAAATAAAGAAGTCAGTCCAAAAGCACCAAAATAAAATATAAATTCAACCCTATTTATGGACAAGACTTTCTGGAAATAAGCATGATATGAAAATAAATTATTTATTTTAGCCCTTCCAACATTATTAAATCGGCATTGTTCGGGTTTCCAACGAATTTTAGTCAGCCAAATATCCCAAAAAGCATGAAACAAATGTTACCAGCAACGGAAGATAAATTCGATAAACCATCTCGTGTTTCTCACGGTTACTGATCTACTGGTAGATTACTAATCTATTGGTAAATTAGATTACTGATCTACAGGTATAGTAGATTACTGATCTATAGGTAAAGTAGATTAGTGATCTACAGGCAAAGTAGGTTACTGATCAACAGATAAGGTAGATTACTGACCTACAGGTAAAGTAGATTACTGATCTACAGGTATAGTAGATTACTGATCAACAGATAAAGTAGATTACTGATCTACAGGTAAAGTAGAACAGTATCTAGTAAAGTAGATGCATATTTATCATGATTATATTCTAATGGGGCGGCATTTAGGCCTCAACAAGCGAGAGGTTTTGTCTTTCTCTTTTGAAGTCTTTTGCTGCCCCAAGCAACTGCTGCTTCAGGGTGACAATGAACAGCTGACGCCCTCTTCCTTGGTGGCAGTGGCTGCCTTAGGTTGTGTACAAAACTTTGTCCTGTTGTCTCAAAAGATCAAATGTTCTGCACTTAATTTTTTTATAGTTATTTACATCCAAATGCATCCTCACATTTCGGTCCATGAAACCTTGTTTTTATGATGCCCTGGAGTGTAATGCAGTTCGAAAATGTGTTTTTGATACAAGTATCATCACACATAGAGAATTGGAAGAGGCTTTTTCTGACAAATGCTTATCTAAAAAATATCTTTTCATGGCTCACTTTGTGGTGTAAGGATAAACACACTTTTAGCGCTGTATTGGTTTTTCTACCAAGTGCATGCGAAGAAAATGGCGTTTCAAGCTATATTTTAGTTTGCAAGCATAATCACACTCAGGGTACTGAATAGGTTTTTCTGTAGAATGCTTGTGAAGAAAATGACTTTTCAAGTTCCCGTTTGTGGTACAAGCATAATCACACTTAGGGCACTGAATAGGTTTTTCTGTAGAATGCTTGTGAAGAAAATGACTTTTCAAGTTCGATTTTGTGGTACAAGCATAGTCACACTTAGGGCACTGAATTGGTTTTTCTGTAGAATGCTTGTAAAGAAAATGACTTTTCAAGTTCCCTTTTGTGGCACCAGCATAATCACACTTAGGGCACTGAATAGTTTTTTCTGTGGAATGCTTGTGAAGCAAATGATTTTTCAAGGTTTCTTTTGTGGTGCAAGCATAATCACACTTAGAGTACTGAATAGGTTTTTCTGTTGAATGTTTTTGAAGAAAATGTCTTTTCAAATCCTCTTTTCTTTTGCATGCATAATTACATTTAGGACACTGAATAGGTTTTTCTATTGAATGTTTGTGGAGAAAATGACTTTTCAAGATTTCTTTGGTTTTGCAGGCATAATCGCACTCAGCACAATGAATAGGTTTTTCTGTAGAATGTTTGTGAAGAAAATGTCTTTTCAATGCCTTTTTTGTTTTGCAAGCATAATCACACTTGGCGCACTGAATATGTTTTTCTGTTGAATGTTTTTGAAGAAAATGTCTTCGCAAAGCCTTTTTTGTTTTGCAAGCATAATCGCAATCAGAGCAGCCAAACTTCTTCATGGCTGAATGTGTAGAGAGGCAACGCTTGTGCAGAATTTCTTTGCAACCATCAGCACATTCCCTCCCAGAGACTTCAAGAGACTTCCCTTGAGGATGCCTTGAGAGAATATGTTGAGCTTCAGTGGCAGACGATTTTAAACAGGAGTGGCATTGGTGATCATTGGAAGCAAAGTGTTCTAGGTGCTGCAGTTGGCCTGCACCTGCACCCACCAATCCGCACTGTGAACACCCAAGCCGCAGATGTTGCTTGGAGCTGGACGCCTCAGAGACGTCAGCGCCGCCAGCAGCGTCTCCTGATGCCGGGACTGACCCACCAGCATGGCACTGAAGATAAAAATTATAGATTAAAACCAGTTGTAAATTAAGTTTATATAATAACAGCAACATTAAACATTTAGCTTCAAAGGCCATTAAACATTAGGGCAATGGGTTTGACATTGACGGCAAGGCAATATTATTCTATAGCATGAAACAGAGTACCTAGCAAAATTACTGAACTGAATATAACTTTAAAATATTTAAACGAGGCCTCATTGCTCTAAGCTCAATATTATAATGCAACTTTTGTTTACTGATGACGGTTTAAGGCCATATTAGGTAGGGCTTGCTCTGCTGTGTGTGTGCACCTGTTATACCGTCAAACTGGGTAATAAGGGACAGTTTTGAGCGTTTTTTGTCAATAACTTCTTACCATGAAACATTTCATAAACAAGTTTTGGCTCATTATATAGCTCTTTGCGAGGGCTATCGTATGGGGTTCTTAAAAAAATTCATATGCTATTAGTAAGGTGCCAGACGCAAAATAAAAGCATCCCAAATTACCCCTGGGAATGGGGTAATCCCTGACACTTGAAATAAAACCTAATTTTAAAATGTTTGAAGCATGCAAATTGTACTCATCTATTACTAACAGTAATCTGAAGTCCTCATTTTCCTTTGTAGATGATGTAGATGTAGAATAAATGTCATTTTCTGTGATTTTTACTTGTTTCTTCTTTATTGATATGATATTGCCATATCCATACATTACCGTATTATTGATGTGATATTACCATATCTATGAAGATGCCATTGAGCATTTACAGCCTTGCCCACTGCAAACTTCATATCAGCAGCCATATAGCACTTTTCTGTATTTGTAAGCTGACAGGATGGCTTGTAATTTCACACCATTTCAATTGGGTCAAATGAATCACTATAACAAAAAGATATTGTAAAAAATACCAGAAACAGAAAGTAGGTAATACTCTGGTGACAACCGTAATATTTTCTGGAGAAATAAATCATAATTTAGGTTAAATACTTTTCATTTTTATGTTGACCGGTGCACAATTCTATGACATTCTCTGCACAATTTTCTGATGACCGATGATGCATAAATTTTTTGTCAAGTGTCATTTTTTTCACAGGGAGATAAATATAAATAAAAATTTTTTATTGTTAATTTTTTTATTGTTATTTTTTCATCAAATTCATCCATAACTAATGCCTTTGCTAATCAAGGTTCTACTGTAAATGCATTTCTAGGGGTGTCCCTTATTACCCCGTCATGCAGAAATGGCCACCATTTTTCTTTAGGAATGAGATAGGAGAATTTTGTCAATCACGCTTTTAGACCAACACCTGTGTGCAAATTTTATGTAAGTAGAATTTTTTGATATGGCATATATTTTTTACTACAGACCTAAGCAGAGGTATGTTTTCAAAATCTCACTTTTCACACTTTTTTTCATGGATTTTTTAGACGTGAAAAATGTATGATTTCTTGATTTACTTTATGCTATATAGATAGTAAAAAAGTTTAACTTTATGCCACTATTTTCAGTTTTACCATATTTTTATTAGTTTAGCTGCTACAACATTTCTACAAAATGTGGGACGGCAGTCCCGATTTACCCCGTTTGACGGTATTCACACAAGCAGATAATGGGTAACTTTAAGATAAAAGAACTTATTTTGTAGACCTTAAAAAAAATATTTTCCATTTGTCACCTCCCAATGATGTGTGGATTACCTTTTCCATCCTTCCTTGTATGTGATCCCAGAAAATTAATGGAAGAGAGGATATTTTGTTCAATGTAATAGATTAATGTAATAACTATCTGTTCTATAATACCTACCTACATGTCTTGTTCAAGGATTGGATTTTTGCTTAGAGAAAATCAAAGAAGGTATTGACAACTACATATTTTTGATGAAAGAAAATCATTACATTTCACTCACCAGATTCATATTCATGGGTATAATGGGTGCATCAACATGTATCACTATCTGTATTTACTCACTCATTTAAACTTATTCACTTATACCTAAATACCAACAATAAGGCAAAATATTCTTGATTTAAGGAATTGGGAGAAATTTTAGGTCTCTCAAAAACTTTTGCCATAGTGTAGATCCTGTCTCTTATACACATCTTAAAGACGCATGAGGCGCGGCTACANAAAACCGTCCCGATTTACCCCTGGGAATGGGGTAATCTGGGACACTTGCAATAAAAGTTAATTTTAAAACGTTTGAAGCATGCAGAGTGTACTCATCCATTACTAACAGTACTCTGAAGTCCTCTTTCATTGGAGATAATGTAGATGTAAAATTAATGACATTTTGTGATTTTTACTTGTTTTTCCTTTATTGATATGATTTTACCATATTCATTAATTACTGTATTATTAATGTGATATTACTGTATCCATGGACATGCCATTGAGCATTGACAATGACTTCGTCCACTGCAAGCTTTATATCAGCAGCCATGTAGCATTTCTTCTGTATCTGTAAGCTTACAGTATGGTTTGTAATTTCACACAGTTTTAATCAAGTCAAGTGATTTCACTATAACAAAAAAGATTGTAAAAAACATACCTGAAAAAGAAAATGTTCTAATGACAACCATCATATGTTTTGGAGAAATAAATCAAGTTTAGGTCAACTACTTTTCATTCAATGATGCCCGGTGCACAATTCTATATATATCATTCTATGTACAGTTTTGTGACGACCAATGATGCACTAATTTTTCAATAAGTGAATTTTTCTTGTTGAGCGAGGTAAATGTAATCAAAATTTTGTTGTTAATCAATTTTTTTGTTAACTGGCACCTTTGCTAACTGAGGTTCTACTGTAAATGCATTTTTAAGGGTGTCCCTAATTACCCCAGGGGTGTCCCTTTTTACCCCGTCATGCAAAAATGGCTGCCATTTATTTTTTGGAATGAGATAGGCAAATTCCGTCAATTATGTTTTCAAGCCGACACCAGGGTGTAACTTTTATGTAAGTAAAATTTTTTAATACGGCAAATATTTTTTTACTCCAGACTTTAGCAGAGGTACTTTTCCAAATTCACACTGTTCACACTTTTTTCCAGCAATTTTTTAGAGATAGTAAATATTTGATTTCTTCACTAGCTTTATACATTAATAAATAGTAAAAATGTTGAAGTTTATGCCACTATTTTTAGTTTTGCAATATTTTGATTAGTTTAGCTGCTACAACATTTCTACCAAATGTGGGACGTGTGTCCCGATTTACCCGCCTGTCCCTTTTTACCCCGTTTGATGGTATGAACATAACTGAATAGGTATATATATTCATGCTGTATACTTGATTCACCAAGAGAGCAGAAATGTTCTGTGAGGAGCTTGAGTGGTGAGTGTGAGCCTCAACTTGAGCTTCCAACTTGAATGGCACACATGAATAGAATGCAGGTGCAGGGCTGAGATGTTCAGTCAAACAAGCCTGGAGAGAAGTGGAGGATGATGTGGATAATAACTAGAGTGATATTTATATTGATTGACATGTGTTAAAAATACCATTCACTCCAGTGCTCATAGTGTTAAAAACATTAATTTCATTTTAATTTCAGAACAAAACAATTTTTTTTAATAGGAAGCTGATTTACAATAGGGCTATGGGTATTTTGGCAGCGTGGCAATACCCTATATTTTAGATAAACAAAAATTCAATAAACAATATTCAATAGAAACAAATTTCATCAAAATTCCCAAGATTATTGTGCAAATGAATGTTGAGAGAAATGACCTACAAAATTCTCATTGAGGAGCAAAAAGAGACAATTGAACAAGAAAATATACAACAGTTTGGGATGTTTTTTTACAATAAAGGCTATCACATTTCATTTTAATTTGGCTTCAGACAACAATAGAAAAAGCTTTAAAAGTTTGCATTTAGAATAGCAAACAAAATTCAAGCATTTAAAAATTATATTTACCATAACTTATTTAAAATGTGTGTTTTATTATCAGGGCCCTAATACCTAACAATATATCACTAATACTAAGATCAAATGCTGAAAAGACCTTTGCCTCCAGATTTGCTCCCTTGAAGATGCTGCATGGATTTAAAATATGGAAATAAATTTTAATAATTTTTATTGCAAATCTATGCTGACATTTCTAATGCTTTGCAAAAAATTCCATCTACCTCATTTCCATATAAGAATGGTTCTTCTTTAATGGAAAAGTCTTCAGTTTCTTCTTTAGGTTCCTCTTTGACGTAGACAGCAGAAACTTCAAATAGTGGAGAAGGGTCAACCTTCCCCCAAGCTGTAAAATAATCATACATTGATGCTTTTTCATCATCAAACTGTGGAGCAAGATAGCTCACAGTATGATACTCACCAAATTAATGAGTAATGAGAACTTCAGACAAAAAATATATAGCACTCGTTTGAGAGAGTACAATGAGATGACATATTCTCATAATATGTTATCAAATATTGTAGCAAAACACAGGACATGAACTCAGCCTCTCCTCGGCATTGTTACAATTGATGATTGTGGCACATGAAATTTGGCTTACCTTCAGACTTGATTTTGCCAGCACCAGGAGACACTTGATTGAGGCTCATCTCTGGGCATCTGCCACTATACATTGCAGCTTCCGAGAGTTGGTGGTTGGATTCACTGATGATGGATGACATCTCTCCATGCAATGATAATTATGAATCAATATGGCTGAAATTTCTACAGAGAGCAGTAGAGGCTCAAACAAGAGGTCTTAATTTTAACATCTGTAACAAAATATAAATTCTCTCAGTTAGATAGGTACAAAGTTATGTGAATTTTGCATCAATGGTCTTTGATGCACACATCCTGATGATCACTGCAGGGGAAAATTGGAAAAACATATGGAATAGAAACATAGAAATAGTGTATATCATTAATAAGTTTAGCTGGACAATAAACTTAAATTGAGAAGATGAAACAGGGAACATTTTAAAGTTATTGTATGTGGCAGCAACCATCAGTGCAAGTGTTTTCGTGCTCACTAGAAAGTATCTTTTTTTGGGAAGTAGCAGGGTTGGTGACTTTTTAAATTTTTTTTTCAAACTAAAAAAAAATTAAAAAATAAATTATTTTTTTATTTTTCCACTTTTTCATTTGTTTGGAATGTGTTTTTTATCATATTGCAATTAGCCTACTGACAATAACAGTATATGGATGGCTAAAGAAGGGCAGTTATTGCCTTCAAGAGTGGCCAAGGTGGTGTTACCACTTTTGGACTTTTGGGTAGACAATTATTGATAAGTCTATTCATTAGCTTTATAAATTTTGTATGGAGCAAGGTAACGAGGTAAATATTAACCATTTACCTGGCATCAACATACAACAACACTTCAGGAATGCAGATCTTCTAAACATTAAAGAGTCACATAACAGATAAGCAGCTGATAGCACAGTCAATAGTGCACAGTTTTATCAATCAATAGATATTCTAGTTTTATGTCCTATAAATCTACCAGACTCTACCCTCTAAACACCAACTAGTAGTGACTGAGTGACTGACTGCACTGTTCCCATTTGATTCAGACCAATAAACCAATACTAACCATTAACTGAACGACAACCAAACAAACCTCAAACAACTTGAAACGAGACTTATGAGAAAAGCTAACACTGTTTGAAATTAACATGTATACAATTCAAACATTTTATTTCCATTCACTGCATTTAATTATATATAGTTTTATAATTGTAATTGTTTTGTTTCTAGTTATAAATTCACATATTTAAAGATTGAAATTAAATATTTTAATTAGAATACTCATGTTAGGGTGAAAATCTTTCTAAATAGCCTAAAAGGGCAATACAATCTCAACCAACCCTTCTTATATAAGCTAGCTAACACATATAAATTGTATCATGAAATTAATATACTATAACAAATAGTCAAATAGTTAAAGACTACTTATAGCCCTATAAGAATTAGCTAAGCTGCTAGCTATGTACAATGTATTGCAACACTTATGCCTCTGTACCAAAAACATACAATTCATTGCAACGTAATACCTACACACTAAAGGCAACTGGTTTATATTCCAATTTGTCATAGAACATTCATACTAAACCATGAATGAGACTCTCTCAAAATAAACTAAAGACTGCCACTCAATATACTTGAATATATAAAAAAATAAAATTAATGAAAAAAATAATTAAATCATGATTTTTTATAAAAAATCAAATGATTTAATCAGTTTGATTTAATCATTGCCAACCCTGGGAAGTAGGCTTATGATAATATTGCTTTGATTACTCATGTCATAAGATTGGGGGTTAAACCAGTATTGTCTTCATGGAAGGTACACCGTAGCATGCACCTACCTCCATACTAACTTCGACTCTCCACCCAAACAAACTTTTCGGGATCTAACCAAACCTCGTTGGCTGCAGCAATGTGGAGAGGACAGTCGAGTGTGGCGGAACACAAAGAGCATACTGGAGTGTGGCTTCAATGAAGACTATACTGGCTGTGAACTTGTGGAGCTTCTGATTTCAAGCTATTGGGTAGCAGTCACAGTGTTTGAAAAATGTGATCTATTGAAAAGTGTAATTGGCAACCAGTGACTGCCATTTGCCTTGATTGTAGCTAGGTATCTTTGAGATAATGAATTTTGCCTCGACCTACATTGTGCTTGTGTAGTATAGTTGTTCTACAACGCATTTACAACACGCCTGGTTTGATGCATGTACGCTGTGGTGTCACCCGGTATGTCCACTACGCTGTGATGTCCCTGGCTACGTCCACTATCAGCCCCCGATCTCTGCCGCGTCTACGTCGTGGGGGTACCCTGACCTGCGCGTCGGCCGGATGCCCGGCATACTCGTGGGCCAGGCCAAACGGCAGAGGTCCCCCTGCCCGGATCGTTACCGGACGGAGGCTCCTTTCTTAATTTTTTCGACCACGGTTGGGGAACCTCGGCGTCCCCTTCCCCCTACCCAAATCGTTGGCCGCCTATCTTTCCTGGGGCACCTTATGCCCTTCTCTCTTCTCACCTTTTCTTCCTACTCGTCCTTCTCCTAACCCAGGGTATCCATCCCAACCCCGGCCCGCACCCCTGCTCCCTCCCAGTTACGTGGCGATGATATTCGTTCCTGCGCTCTAGGTGCAGCGCCTGGACCCACAAGCGATGCTCCGGTCTGCGCTCCATTCATCTCTAATCCGAAGACTGGATCTGCCCTGCGTGCACCCGGTCTGACCTGATCGCAGCCAGACCCCCCTCTCCCTGGCCCCCTCCTCGCCTCCCAGCCTCCACCCATGCTGGCCCACTCCCACCTCTGCGTCCTCCAGTTTAACTGCAATGGGGTGCAATCAAGTGCAGTTGAACTGGCTGCCTACCTCGCCAAGAACGACGTGGCTGTCGCTTGTCTCCAAGAGACCAAGCTATCGGCTGCATCCCGCTCCCCCTTCTTCCCCGGATACGCGCTAGAGCGCAGGGACCGCCCCGGAGGTCACGGTGGCGGTCTCTTCATCCTGATCCGCCATGACGTCCCTAACACCAGGCGAGACATCTCTCCCCTCCTACGCGGCGACACCACCATGGAGGCTACAGCAATCTCCACCCCTCTTATAATGGCTGCCCTCTCTGTATCATCAATGCATACATCCCACCGGCCTCCTCCTGCCCCCCGGGATACTCCCCGGAGCTCGCAGACATCATCTCCCTCCCGGCTGACATCCTGATAGTGGGTGATTTTAACGTCCATCATCCCTCTTGGTTCTCCCACACGGAAGACCAGAGAGCCGCAGCGCGAAGAACCGCAGCCGACGACCTTGTCGCGGGTTCCTCCCTCGTCTACCTCATTGAGGACTCCCTTACTCGCCTCCCCTCCCGTGGCACGCCCTCCTCTCCGGACCTCGTCATCATCAGCGGTCATCTACTCCTCAGCACCTTCTGGACTCCTCAAGTTGCCCTCAACTCGGACCACCTGCCCATCCTGATCCATCTCCCTACCTCTGCTAATTCCCCGACCCCCGGGGCCGCCCGCTCCTACGTCAACTTTAAAAAAGCTGACTGGCACGCCTACACGGCAGCCATCGAATCGGCTCTCGAGATGGTCCCTCCCCCCCACCTCGTGTGACGGAAAATCGACCTAGAGAGAAATCGTGACGACTGAGGCCAGACAGCACACCTCTTTCAGATTCCGAAAGGACTTCTCCACATCAGTCAACCCTGACCCCTGGCACCCGGTTTCTCATCGAGCAACGGGATGACATCAGGGCGCGCAACCCAACCGACCCCCGGCTCCCAGAGCTCAACCTAAAAATCGGCATCTCCATACAGGCCCACGCCAGGAACACCTGGCGAATGCATCTTGCGTCTTGCAGCAGACGTACCAACAATTCCAAACATTGAAATCTCCTACGCTCCCTCGCCGGAAAGCGGAACCGCCCTACCCCTAATCAGCCAATCCAATTTGGTCTGAATTCCCTCTCCTTCCAGCACAAGAACTCCTCCACCTTCTGCAAGCTCTTCACTTCGATCGCTCCTCATTCTCATAGCCCCTCCACTCGCCGCCTCTAAGTCGAATCCGGGCTGAACATCCCCTCGACAGGGACTTCTCTCTTTTCACCCCGATATGGTGAAGCTCGCCATCGCAGCCGCCAACAACTCTTCCGCTCGGGGTCCTGACGGCCTCACGGTCCTCCATCTTAAGCACCTCGGCCCAGGTGGCCTTCAGTTCCTTAACAGTATCATCCACATCTCCGTCTCCACAGCCTCTATCCCATCCGTTTGGGAAAATTCAATAATTATTCCAATCCTCAAAGCGGGCAAACTTGTAAACCAGGGCTCATCGTACCGCCCTATCTTCCTCCTCTGCCCTGCAGCCAAGATCCTAGAGCGTGAGCGTCTCGTGCTCCCTTACATCTTAGGATCTCTCACCACCGTCCCCTCGCAACATGGTATCAAGCCGTGACACTCCACAGTCACCGCCCTCCTCCCGCTCGCGCACCAGATCGCGACGGGTTTCAACTCTCGGCGCCCTCCATCCCGCACAGTCGCCGCTGCAGTCGACCTCTCGAAGGCCAGCGACAGTGTCGACCACCCTGTCCTTCTGAGCATGATCGCGCCCTCCGACCTCCATCATAACCTGGTTCGATGGCTGTGCTACCTTGGAGGCAGGCAGGCATCCTGCCTCTACCTCAGAACGCAATCGTTTTTCACAGCTATTCACTCGGGAGTGCCCCAAGGCTCGGTCATCTCGCCGGCCCTCTTTAACCACTTCATCTCCGATATCCCAGTGCCGACCCCAACATTGTCTCATATGCGGACGACCTTACCATCCTCGTGTCGTCCCCGAGGCTCGACGCTGTTGAGGCTGATCTCGCCGTGCTCCTTCGGAACGTCTCGGATTGGTCGGCTGCCAAGAAACTGGGCGTGGCTCCTGGCAAGTCCTCAGTCACGCTCTTCACCCCAGACACCCACCAATCTCGATCCCACCCTGCTGCCACAATCTGCAACGGCATCATCCCTCTGGATAAGACCCCCAAAATCCTATGTGTCACCTGGGATACGCATTTCACGTTCTCACGTTAGAGCCATAGCCACGAAAGCGACGGTATCCCTTCGCATCCTAAAAGCCCTCGCCGGCACCAACTGGGGCTTCTCCATGGAGGACATTTTTGCCCCCTACCGAACCATCACGCACCCAATCTTCAACTAAGCGGCCCCCATCAGGTACCCTGTTGCCTCACGCACAGCAATTGCTAGTCTGCAAACAATACAAA